CCCATCTTCACATGCCACTTGTGGGATGTGGCTCCTAGTTGCTCACTCAGGCCTGTTTCATTGCTGGGAGAGGCTGGGGTGGAGGTAAAGCCAAGCTGGTGAGCGGCCTTGAAGCTGGACTGGTAGCCGTGGCCCAGTGAAACCCAGGGAGAAGGCAGACGGGGTGTGGGGTGTGCTCAGACTATGGGTGCAGGCCCCACGTGACACCAGCAGGCATGCTTCTCTGTAGCGATAACAGGGGTCAGACAGCAAGTCGATTTGAATTCTTCTCAAAGATGAATGGATGTATTGAGGGAATGACTTATATTTAGCACTTCCTTTTGCATCATGGCTATATTCTGGCGACATTTTTTTCATTTTGTTTAAACTCAACAGAGTTGCTTTTCAGATCTACTTCCCCACTTAAACAAAATGATCCCGGTCACTTTGATGGGACTTCAATGGAGACTTCTATTCCAGGCCAAATATGGCTTTTGAGACTGGTTCCTGACACTGGACTTGCCAAAAAAAACCAGAGGTAAGCAAATATCTCTAGTGCAGATAAATCATTCTGCTTTCTTAGAACATGATTCTGAAAATGATTATTTCCACTGAATGTTTTTCTTCTCAGGTTAGAACAAGCCATCTGCATTTTCATCAGGCGGGCTGGCTTTGTCTTTTGCCTTCTCCAGAGCTCTCCTCTGGCCTGCCCTGTGCGGAAGGTCCTCGGCACCGCCAATCGCTCAGCGAGAGGGGAGAAAGGGAAGAGGAGAGTGCCAAACTGTTTTCCATTACCTGTGTCTTAGTTACTTCAGGCATCTACGGAGGGAAATTTTGATGAGTTTTATCTTTTCTTTAGCACAAGTAATGTGGCTTTCTCAGAGATAAACGGTCTGAGATTTCTAGGTTTCTTTTTTTCTCTTCTGTAAAATAAAGGGGGTGGACTAGGTCTTTTCTAAGGTCCCATTTACATCTGATTTTGTGGCCTGGGAAATGGCTTTTTAGTAAAAGTGCCAGAGAAGGGTAGAGCCATCTTACACGCCATCCTGGTGACAAGTGTGTGTGGAACAAAGAGTTCTGGATCAGGAACCAGAGCCATTGTGTAAACGACCAGTGGGGCCTCCCTTAACCATTCTGAAGCTTTAGGTAGCTGTGAGGGCTGTAAATGGGTGCATGTTGATCAGCTGAAGCATGTATATCAAATGCTTTCAAAATGAAATCATACAGAAGAATCAGGGGTTGCTATTAGGAGAATAGCAAATGCTCCCTCAGAATTCATTTCTCAGCCTCTGAATTTGAGGTTTCTAGTCAGCTTAAAATATACTTACATAAATTCCCTCCCTGCCCCACCCAATCCCAGCAACTGCAATGGAATTCAAATAGCAAGACAATAGTAGTTTGTTCATGGAAAAGCCATGAATCTAAAATTAGCTGGAGAACATAACCACTGAAAAGGAAGGCTTGATTTGAAAGACATTTTGGAAATCTGCACTGATTTTGCAATGCCAAATTTGTTAGACATTTTTGTATTTTAAAAATGTCAGTACGTGTTTTCCAGTAGATTCCTGGACACCACTCCAGACTAGAGTCATGGTGCTTCGCAGTTGTGCCTTAGTCCTGTCCCAAGGTGCTATGTGAGCTCAGAAAACTGGCTGAATCTCCCAGGTCAGGTTCTCCCAATTATAGTGTTTTCAATATTTCAAAGAGTTTTCAATATTTCACTCCTCATAGGTTAAGTGAAAGGTAACGTATTAATAACATTTGTGAAAGCTCTTTAGGTATTTCAGATAAAAGTGGCCATAATGTAGCCAAGGTAGAACATCTTTTTTTTTTAAATACCTGGTATGTCCTAGATGTTATTTGTAAACAAAATGCTGTAAGTAGGAAGAGATATAAAATGCCTTTATAAAAAGTGAAGGATCCTTTTAAACGCCCCAAACTGGGTTACCATGTAAGTCTTCATTTTCAAAATCAAATTTTCTGAAAGCACAGTCTACACAAAGTGCCATTTCCATTGAACACTCAGAGCTGTTCCGAAACAGTACTGGTAACAGCTGCCTTCATGTCAGTGAGTGAGTGACACTTCAGAGCACCAACCGTGTCACTGATCCAGAACCTGATGGAAAATCTTTAACTTTAGGGAATACTTATATTTTCCTCGAAATTTCAAGATATAGGGTGTTAAATAACCAGGAATCATAAAAAAGCTAGTTTTTCAAGGTTGCTTTCAATGTCTATCATTTTACTATGAAAATACCATCAATCCATTGCATAGATGAAAATGATATTTATACTATTCAAATGTTGGTTTCCCGTTGCAGAAGAAGACATCGGGGCAAATGCTTTCTACTGTATCATCATTAACATAATTTACTCCAAGAATAGAGTAAGATTTAAAAAAAGAATTAGTACACACAATCCTTTTGTATTTCATGAGTTAACAAAAAAAAAATGTTCTGGGGAAAATACATAGTTGATTGAAAAGTCTGGTAATCTTGGGTTTCTTGGATTTCTGTAGCATGTACTGTCTATATGAATCATTTGGCATGGGTGCATTGTCTTGTATCTTTTCATGCACACATTTCTTGTTCTCCTACTAGGAGGTGAGCTCCTGGAAGGAAGTTCCTTATGGCCCTAAGCCCACTGCCTTGTACATAACTGGGTGCCCAAATCATTGAGTGACATGTACCTTTGCAGGAAAGAGCTCGGAGAGATACACTTAAAACTTTATTCATTGATTTACAAAATGTACAATATTTACAAAATTTAGGCATCAATCCCATATTGACATGAATGTTGTGGGGAGTCTAAAAATAAATAAGTGGCACGTAAGTTCATATATACATCACGGCTCTTTGTACTTCAAGCCGTCGCCGATGGCGAGATTTAACGGAAGGCTGAATGTGGCAGAAAAGTCAGATGGATGACCAGTCCTGGGCCGTCCACATAAACAACCCTTCCGTGGCTCCCTGAGGCTGCGGATGGGACGCAAACCACTCTCAAAGGGATAAAATACCAGCCATTCTGACAGGGATGCAGGGTGTACACAGCCACCTCTGTTTGGAGTTTACAGTGACCCTCGGGGTGGCAGATGCTACCACTGTGGACCTGGTCCCTACACACCGGCCAGGGAGGCTTTGGAGTGCCCGTTTTCTCATTAAGAACCAACATTTGGATGCTGTCTCTTACTGAAATCTCATGCAGTACTTGGAAGGTGTCAGTGGAGAGTGATCATGCACAAAAATGGATTTGTAGATATGTACATCAAATCTTCATTGTCTTATAGCATCTTTATATGTAAGATCAGTCTGTCTCCTCTTTTGGCGAGCAGAATGAATGAGAGGACCATACCTTCATCCCCCAAAGAAAGAACATCTGGGGACACATGCAAATGGCACCCTGCAGAGGCAGGGCTAGACAAACCCCACATGGTAAGATGGCCAAATTCCCATGAAGTCAGGCCTGGAAGTTTTCCTGGGGGTGGTAATTCCACTTTCCCTTCCTCTTCAATCCCAACTCATCCCGTATAACCTAAATCAGAAGGAAAAGGCTTCATATCACTGAGCTTTTTAGAGCCTTGGTACCTTCATCGATCAAGTGTAAATTCTAGTCATTTCCCTCACATGGTTCTTGTAGGAATTATATGACCCAACTTATGTAAAGTGCTTAGCATAGTGCCTGGCACATAAGAGGTGCTTAATAAATGTCTTGCTTTCTCTCCCCCTAACTCCCCACCCCAATTATAAGCAACTTATTGATAAAACTGCCAAACTCTGATTTAAGGCCATTTGATGCAATTTAGATTATTGTGTATCAGAGTTACCACTGTCAGTTCATATTTGGTCCCTGAGGAGGTCTCATTTTATGAGCCAGAGACATTTTCCTGTGCAGAGCACCTGACAACACTGTCCTCTTTATCCTCAGTGGCTCCACCAAATTTCCTGCAAACATGCCCCATGACCCTGCAGAGAAACTCACACCAGTGACGGTCGCTGCCCAGATGCACCTGGGGCCACGCCGCTGAGGAAACCACGAGCAAAACCTTGAAGCCGACACATTATTCTTGCTCACAACATAAATAACTTTTTTCAACACTGGTGCAAGTGTTATAGATAATGTTCAACACGCATATATTACAAGCTCTACCACTGTTGAAAAATAAGTATTCTGATTTGATTGTTTGGAATAAAGAATCTCTTACAATATATCTTAGTTTCTAGTTATGCCATACAAAAATAAATATTGTATAACTGATTTACAAGGACGAAGAAAAAAATGTAACTTTGGGTGCCAAAAATATAAGAAGGATGGTGAAATTTTTACTATTTCAAAAGCGATCAGCTAAAAAAAAAAAAAATCAAAACTTCCCACTGGATCTCCTTACTAGTCTCACCACAACCCCACTGGTCCACCCACTTCTCATCCTAGGATATTGTCTTCTTTTCCTATTACTCTCCAGACAATGTCATGTAGAACCTTCCCCCTGGAGTCACTGGAGATTTGCAAGAGGCAGCGCGAATTGCCGGTGGAGGATCTGCTGAGCCACTCACTGGACCCTCACAATGAACGAGGCTCAACTCCCACACATTTCCTTCCTTTCCTTTTGCAGTCCTCTTTCTGTCTAAGTTAGCTAGGCCTGAGTAGGACCCCATGACTGCCCTGGGACTCCTTGAACACTCAAGGGTCCAGGCAGAATCAGGCCAGCACAACCAGGTGCCAAATCCAGCCCAATCTCACCAATTACATAAAGAGACAAACAGCCGCTTACGGATGCTAGTTCCATCAAATTAGGGAAAATCCTCCTCCAGCCCCTCTCCCGCCATACAACAAACTTTTATGATTGCCTTTTTATCTCCCACACAGAGCAGAGGGAATATGATCCCCACCACTGGGAGAGGAATGCTAGAAAAATTAAATTGGACAAATTGCTCACTACTTTTCTAGGGACTTTGTAGGAATCTCTGAGGAAACGGCCCATTCATTTTGCAATTAAAGTTTTAAAATTCTAAAGCTGTAAGTGAATTCATGGCTATATTTAAACCAGTGGTCCTTTAACTTCTTCCTGAAAAACATACAACTATTCACATTGCCTAACTCCTCAGAGGGTCCCAGGACCTTCTCTGGCTCATGCATGCATTCCAAATGAAGAGCCCAGATCTCAGTAAATGCAGGAATAGTTGTCGGAGTCAAAACAAAGGTTTATGGTATACAACGTGGTCTATTTGGGGGGCAGGCTGGCTTCGATGAGGCCTCGGAGAAATGACTATACTGAAGCAATGCTTGTTCCCCATGGGAAGTGGAAATGCTTAGCCAGGAAGACATCCTTAAGTATTGCAGAAACTGCTGTCAGGCCAATGACTCATGCATGACTGTGGACCATCAAAATCCCCATAAATTGCTATTACACATCGTGCCTTTGAGCTGCTATAATGTGAGTCCCAACCACACCCACAAGCAGGACACTATCACTGACATGCAGTGTGGATGCCCATTTGTCTGATTTATGGGTGACGTTGTGGCAAATGTCGCATCAGTTTCATTTCGGGGGAGTGGCAAGTTACAGATGTTTCCTTCACAACAGGAAGTGCAGACCTGAAAAAAGGAGAAAAAGGTGATGAGAAGCTCGCAGGTCTTGGAAGGAGGCAGGGATTTTTGAAGGAACTGTCTCTCTCACAACAAGATTCAAGTGAAAATTACGTGTACTACTAAGGAGACACGAATTCTGCACTTAAGTGCGGGGGGTGAAATTTCGTCTGGAAGCAGTGCAGTCGCAATGAAAGCCCCCCAGCCAAGCTTCAAGGAGCATGGGTTCTGCTCTCGACATCCAACCATGTGGTTATTACAGTTTTACACATTTTCTGGGTCTTGGCTATTCCTTCTCTGAAGTGAGGATTATAAAGAATATTTACCCTACCTTCCTCAAAGAGATTCCTTCTGACTACTTGAGGAAACTGTTAAGAGGGCAACATTCACTTGCCACCTTTTCACAGTGAAAGGAAGTGGCACCAACCCAGATAATTTAAACTTAAATATTTACTTTCATTAGAACTGTCTGCATAATTCTCTCCATTCTCCTGGGTGAGTCAAGGTTTTAAGGGTTTTCATTTATGCAATTATTCCCGCTTCATACAGCTTTACTTGTGGATCATAAGACAGAAATAAAAACCCAAAGGATTATCATCTGAAGTTACTACAGGTCACGGGTACACTAAGTACAGACCAGCAGTTTTTGCAGCAACTGGGAGCTAATTAGGAACGCAGAATCTCCAACTTGCCCTGAACTTCGCAATGAGAATCTGTATTTCAGCAAGATCCCCCATGGGATTCGCATAGACAGCAATGTTTGAAGACTGTGATGGTTGCTACCCTGTGGTCATTCTCCTGCAGAGATTTCAGTTTGGTCGCAGCTCACATGGGCTAGGAAGACGCGATAAAGGCGAGGAGAGAAACGAAGGGTCAGGAGTGACTTTGAATTCTGTCTCTGTTGCTGACTAGCTATGTGACCTGAGCACGTACTGTCACTTCTCGATCTGCAACTTCCTCCTTGGTGAAAGAGCCACAATAACACCCGAGAGCCAAGCCCAGCTTGCTAGGGGGTCAGGAAAAACCCGTGGGTTTACCTCTATATTCCAAACCAGGAGCAACTGGCAGATTATAACTTTACCATTGAACCTTTAGTGTATTTGACAAGTCTCTTGAAAATTAGGTGCTCATCTTCTTGAGAGAAAGAAGCCCCCACTAACAGTTTCATTGCATGCTATCCCAACCCCCATGAAGGCTGCCCAATGGGGAGAAGCAGGCAGACCCCAAACCAAGGCCAAGGCCTGACATACAAGCTCATATGTGCAGCCAGCTCTGACGACCAGCAAGGGAGTCAGGGGCGTTGCCCATTCCAGCCATGGGTCAGGCAGCCCTTCTCTGATTCCTCACATTTTCTTTCAGGGCTGCCTTTGAAGTTGGTTTTAAACTGAGTGCTTCCCTATAGGCACCAGATGGAGTTTAGGGGGAGCAGACCCACAGCGAGATGGTTCTCTCTTCACCTGCTGAAGTGACTTCAGGAGCCAATGGATACCTTCCCCAAGTCAGCATCGCACAAAAGAAATGAGCCCCACTTGACAGGAAGCTATCAAAGCTAAGCTGCCTGGGCCACCCTCAGCCAAGCAAGCTGTTGGGACACCTGCAATTCTTTGCCATGAGGACATAATGGGTCCCTGGGTTCTCTTCCTTCTGGTAGTTTTATTACTTTCTTCTGAGTGAGGAAAGGGCTTACAATAATTTTCAGTACCCTCTTGGTGTTGTGTTTACATAACTTTTCCTACACCCTGGTATAAATCTTTATTCTTTTAGAGCAAACAGAAGAGGAAGCATGTCCTTATAATATGGTAAGGCCAGTCAAAAGCCAGCCTACAAGGGAAGTAAGAATTTGCTCATGAGCACTGGCAGGCGTCCGCTGTGGAGGAAGGCGACTGGGCTGTATCGGTCACTCGCTTTGTTGCCCAGACCTTGTGGCCTTCATGCTCGGAGTCCCTGCAGCCTGTGGACAAGCACTCTTCCAGTGGCACGCAGCGTTTGGTGACAGAGATGCTATTTCCTGTGACTTCCATCGTGTGCTGAGTGTAGCAGTATCTGGTCTCTGTCAACAACAGAAATAACTGTTTTAATTGACATAGAAAATGTTAGCCCGACCTACCTGAAAGGGAAACAACAGGAGTGCCAATACACTATCAGTGCTAAAAAGACCTCATCGCACATGGGATGCACACAGTGTTGGGTTTATGTCCAATCCCAAAGATGTCCTTGGAGATCCACTGAGCTCTTGTAAAAAGGGGCCTTCGAAGACTATTGATCTCTGTCCATCGTAATCCCCATACACAAAGACCTGATAGCATCGCTCTATGCCTTTCAACAAGTTTTACCACTGGACAGATTTTTACTTTGAGGGAAGAAGAGGTTTGGAGGGATGATTTAGGCAGTGAGTCACTTCTAATAGCAATTTTCAGGGAGATAGCAATTTTCAGGGAGATGAAGGAGTGAAAAAGTTCAAAAAACGTGGGGTTAAAAGACAAGAAGTTAGGCAGATAAAAAGATCTTCAAGGAGACAAAAGACTATAAAGCAGAGGCTGGTGTGTGTGTGTATGTATGTGTGTATAACAGCTCTTCCAGAGTGAGGGCAGAAAGATGAAAAATAGATTCACTGTATCTGAAGCAAATGACTTTATTCAAAAGAAAGAACTTCTGGCCTAGGAGCACAGCTGGATGTTAGAATTCATTACAGAAGACAGCTAACTCAACAGAGAAGGAGCCCAAATGGGGGACCAATGTTTCTCTCGCTCATGATTTTAGCACCTTTCCAGGAGGGTTGCTGAAGAAAGACCACGATATGAGTTTCTAGAGGTTTGTCCAAGTCTTAGAAGTCTACAAACTTCAGATTTCTTCCAAAATTCCATGGAGAATTTTTTTTTATTTGTAATTTAAAGCCTAAAGAAAAATGGTTTTGTCAATGTAATTTTTTAAGTCCTCCAGGCAGTGTTCTGCTTTCTGAGCCTGGGGTTTAGTTGAATGTTCCTGTTCCACTTTCAGACTGAAAAAGAAAATGAGTAATTCCTAAGAAATGTCACTGAGCTGTTTTTCATCCATATCTTGGACCTAACTTTGCATACTTTATACATTTTGGATATTTAGTGGCTAATATGGAATTATGACCTTCTATAATATTATTTATTAGGCCATAAAAATCCCCCCACCAGATTCTGTCATAATTTTGGCAGCTTTTAACCAAAGTATTAATGTCCAGAGAAGAAAGCTGAATAATTTTAGGCTCTGAGCATGACTCATCCAGACCGCACTGACATGTCCTGGAAGTCATGAAAATTCGAGGGCTGTAACGATCTTCCTCGATACCGCCCCTCCGCAGCCTGCGTGGCCTCCGAGTGAGTCTTGCTAAGGGGCAGCGACTTTCCCAAAGTTTACACTCTTGCTGGGTGTACGTGGGCTGAGTCTGTGCAGGGCCCTCCGTCAAGTGCTGTCCCTACACGGCACCCTGACCAGGATTTTGTCAGCTGGAGCCAGGTCAGAAGGCGGACTCTACCTGCTCAGGATCCTAGAGAGTGGGGTCACAAAGGTCACCTATGAGCACCTCAAAAAAACAAACAAACTTGAAAGCCCGTAATATTTTAAAATTGGAGTGAGTGTTTTTCTGATGAAGAGGAGGTAGCAGCTCTCCTCTGACTTTAGTATTTTTTTTAAGCCTTTGACAGGTTTGAACATACGGATGCCTGTGACCTGAGTGATTTACCACATCTTCCAAAGAGGACTGGTTTACTTCTCTGGTATCAGACTTGGTCATTTATGGCCCTGCTAGGTAAACCTTTCCCAGGCCCACTCCAACTTCAGATATTCAAGAAAGCAATAAAAAAGGGAATGTTCTTATCTCCGTCTCCTCTTCAGGCAGACAACCAGGAGCAGCTGCCAGAGGTTTTATTGCTCCCAACGTAAATCTAAGCAGATAAGATCACCGTTTATGGAATGAGTAAGTCATGACAGGTTTCAGTTTTGGAAATCACATTTGTCCCCCAAGTAGTGAATTGTCTTGTTTTAACTAAGCCTTAGAATAACAATTGGTGAACTTGACGTAACTACCTTTTGTTCATGCTTTTATATCCATAACACACTCTTTTAATTTATTAATTGGAAGTGTATTCCACTGAATGAAAGTAGAGACAACAGCTGATGAACCTTTTCCTTTTTTTCAGGAAAATATGCAAAAGCGCAGTTCCTAATCATCCAGTTCTTGCCATTCTGCGGGGAGAAGGGTGACCACTGACGAAGCTGGACAAGAATTTTTTCTCACACTTCATCAAGTCCAATCCGTAACACAAAGATATATGGAAAACACCATCAATCCCTTGGAAGTATCTACTCCACTTCTTTTCTTAACAAAACTCCTAAGTGAATTATAAAATGTTAATGTAGAAGATGGTTCTGCGGTTAAATAAGTTTGGGAAATGCTCAAATAAAGTTGAACAGGTTTCTTCAGTGCACAACTTATGAGAGCCTTGAATTCATACTGTGATCTCGACGGGGGATGGGGAAAGGCACGCGGTTTCCCAAGCAGAACTAGGTGGACCACATGTGGCGTATCGCTGGACTGTAGAATTGATAAAAACTGAGTTTCAGCCACAAAGCATTGCTCTCCATGCATTTTGAATACTCCTTGGGTTAGTAATGAGGTTATATGAGAATCAAGCCTGCTGATAAATTCACACTAAAAGGATTTCAAAGTCTTTTATCTAAAAGATAAAAGATGGATTTGAATTTCTACCAAGTTAGTTTGGGCCTCTAAAAAATCTCATATTCTGCACTGCATGGTATTCCCAGAGGTTGTGAAACAAGTCTTTTACTCTGAGATTCACAGGCATTCAAGGAAAATCAGAGCTGAGCAAGAAGCCTTTATCAACTATTGGAAGACACAAAATTCACACATGTATACACACAAATCCTCCAACCTAGCTCTGAAACTTAAAAAAAGGTTCAAAGCTAAAATGTAAATTTCCATTTACTCATCAACATTCCGTTTTCAATAACGGAAACTGTAGCAAAACAAAACACACATCAAATGATTTGATTAAAATGAGACAATTAAAAGCGACCAACTCTCAGGTAAAAGGTCTTCTCGCCACTCAGTTATTCTCTGTGGCTCCTCTAGTTTTGGCTTCTTTACAAACATCTAATTATGAAAGTGATGCTAGAGAACAGTTCACCAGGTGCAAAAAGTTTAAAGGGAGAAAAATCACGTTAATCATAAAATTACCAATTACACTGAAAAATAAAGGCAAGTGGTATCGGTGGCACCTTCCCGCCTGTTCCTTACGGTGCACGCAGCCCTTTACACCCTGCTCTGCCCGCCCCCACACCCTGCCCAGGTCCCTCTGCAAGGACTGTTCGCCTAAGTGCTCAATTCGATGCTTTTCTCGCCTGTCTGACCCCTTAGAATTCTTTGCACTTCCAGGTTCTGCTGTGTATAATATCTCCCGAGGATTCCCCACCCTGGACATGAGAGCTTTGTCTTCCAGGTTTTCTCCTGCATCTCTGGTCTCTTCACTTCCAACTCTCCCTAACCTGAGTGTGAATATTCTCCCAAGTTCAGTTCTTGAAACTTCTCTCACTCAAGTGACCTCATCCAACCTCAAATGCCTCACCTTCAGTCTGATTCTCTCTCCCAGCCTACAGAACCAAATTTCTATTTCCTGGAAATCACCAGCCGCAGTTTGTGCCTGGCACCTCTCATGTCTCCAGCCAATCACATCATTTCTCTCCCCCCTGGATCTGTTTATCTTCCTGTGTTTCTACTTCAGGAAAGGACTTCCTGAGACGTGGCACCTCTATCGGGGACTAGAAAGTTCAGCATCAACTCAGACCTCTCTTGCCAGGCTGGGTGTCTCTAAATCTTCTGAAATATCCCCATTATCCTTCCAGTCTTTTCTGTTCCATTTTCCATTTCCCCAATACAGGACCTCATTTATTCCCTGTCTTCTTTGCCTATGATCTCTCTCCTTTCTAATGCAGGTGCCGGACAACCAGCCACCAGACAGATTACTGAAACCAGGGTCGCCACTTACTGCCTAGGAAAGCATGAGTAACACTTTAAATCATGAATGGCCCCTAACTGTCAAGGAGCTCTGACCGCTTCCTGCTGGGTTTGTTTGGCCTACCTCTCTCTGTCAAGAGTATAGGAGCAACTGCGTCCTTGCTAGAAGCATCGATTGCACTTACAACTCAGAGCTTGGCATCTGAAACTCCAAACTTACTACTACCCAATATTCTCTTTGTTCTAGGCCTCCGACTACACATCATTGCCAACTAGATACCTTGAGCCACCATGACGCAACTTTTGAGTGTTCCTCACAACAATAATTTTCCTGTCTTCCGCTCCTAGAACCCCAATGTTCTTCGAGGCTCAAACCAAATGTTCTTCGAGGCTCAAAGACAGGAATTCTGTGAAACCTTCGTTGATTTTCCTCCAGGCAGCCCTTCCTTAGCTTCCTTATTTGATATGCCTGTCTTTACCTCTAGATCAGGATTTCTCAGCATTGGCACGCTGGCATATATTTTTTCACTGGTTGATTTTGTTGTTTTTTTAGTTAAACTTTAGATTTTGAGATAATTGTAGATTCACATGTACTTGTAAGAAATAATACAGAGTGATCCCATGTACCCTTTACCCTGAATGGTAAAATATTTCAAAACTATAGTATAATATCACAATCAGAATATTGACATCGATGCAGTCAAGATTTCGACCATTCTATCCCCACAAGAACCCCTCATGTTGACATTTTATACTCACACCCTCTCCCCTCCTGTCCTCAAGCCCTCCTTAACCTTGGCAGCAACTAATCTGTCCTCCACTTCTCTATCTTCATCATTTCAAGGGTGTCATAGAAATGGAATCATACACTATATAAACGTTTGGGACTGAGCATGTTCACTCAACCTAATTCACTTGGAAAGTTAATGAACAATCCATTAATTTTTATTGCTAAATGGATTCCATGCTATGGGTATACCAAAATTGGTTTAGCCATTCACCCATTGAAAGGATATCTAGGTTGGGGATATTATTAATAAAGCTGT